CAGAATTTTTCTATGATTTTTCTCTTCTCCATTCTAAACACCCTACAGTGTGTGTGTATATGAAGTTTTGGCTCTATTGTTTAGCCTTTGTGCAGACTCAGATTTACAGAATTTTACAGACAACAAAGATCTCTGCAGTCATCCAGCTCAATGCCCTCGTTTCTGGATAAAGAGAATGAGGCCGAGCCCCAGACACACAGCTGGTCAGTCTTTGACCCAGAATTAGGACCCAGGGCAGTTTTCATTCTCTGGTTTTGTAGTTGCTTGATTATTTTGTGTGTGTGTGTTCGGTTTTCCCAGCTAGAGCATTCATTATCAAGGACCAAGCTTTTCCCCCTCTTCCACCCATTCTGTGTTTCCCTCCTTGGTGTGGGCAAAGGAGAATGTGTGGGAGCTAGCCTCTTGGCAGCAGATGCCAGTGGTATATGACTGTCCTTTGCTCTAGTGATATTTCTAAAGTGTCTTCAACTTTTGTTTTAACTAGATATCTAAAACATACTTCTTAATGTTCATCTATTAGTAGGACTGTTTAGTGTTATGAGTAGTAATTCAGGTTTAGTATTCTGAGTGTTGTCCTAACATAGAGACAGAACTAAATCCCTCTATATTAATTAGTGATTTGATAAAGTTGTATTTTCTGATAACTTGGAATACTGTGACAAGGGGATGAGAAGCAGGGCCTATAGTTCAGTATTTGATGGGCTTTTTTAGGTTTTCTCTAAATTTTACAGTACAGAAGGGCTTCCCCGGTGGCTCGGATGGTAAGAATCTGCCTGCAATTCAGGAGACCCGTGTTCAATCCCTGGGTTGGGAAGCTTCCCTGGAGAAGGATTCCCTCTGGCAACCCACTCCAGTATCCTTGCCTGGAGAATTCCATGGACTGAAGAGCCTGGCAGGCTAAGTTTGTGGAGTCACGAAGAGTTGGACACAACTGAGCAACTAACACTTTCTAAGTTTTCTCTAAATTGAATAGTACCAAAGAGCTTACCTAAAACAGTCCCCTTCAAATCTGGCCATATATGATGGTGACACCCTCCTTTCTCCATATCACCCAAATTGGGACCCCAAAGTTGGGACTTGTGTATCTTTATGTTAAACATGGTCTATAGCAGAGAGCCAGTGGCTTGGAAGAACAGCATGATTGACATGACGAAGATCCCCTTTTAAGAGAAAGTTACTAAGTTGGGAAAGAGTGCTTATATATATATAGTTGGGGAGGAAAGGATGTATATATAGAAATCTATAGAAAGATAGATTGATTTTATGCATCATTGAAATTATTTGATTGCCTTTGACATCATATCAAACATTTCTTTTTCAAATCTTTGTGGGCCTGTCATATCTTTCAGGCCCAAATAGCAGTTGAATTGCACCCACAAACCTTCATAAAGTTACAAAGGAATCAATTAAACTAGGATCATGGCTTTTGCTGCTGTAATTCAGAAGTGATAGGCAATGTAAACAGATAACAGAAATCCATTATTAGAAACTGCTATTTTCTCCTCTTAATGAGTAGTGGCTGATGCAAACCTATTGAAAGTTCTAATAAGATTGGCTGGACATCATGGTGCCCATTTTGCAGTAACCAGTTAAATCTCATTCTCTCTCAGTGCATTTATTCAATATTAGATATAACTGCACACTGTTTATGAGGCTGCCATATTTGTATTCCATTAATATTAAAGATGTGTTAATAAAATAAAAATAGATATGTTAAAAAACATGATAGTCAAGTAGTCACAGAAGTTTATAAGAGTGAAGAATTGGTGAGTCAGTTTAAATTTGGAGTTTTTTCTGAGCCTTGCTTTGGTTCTGAGTGTTAATGATCATAGCAAAAGCCTGAGACCAACTCTTAAGGACATTTAGTTTTCAAAGGAGGCAACGCTGGGTACATTGATGATTGTGACTTAATAGTAGTTACATAGTTATCATTTCTTGAATATAATGAGACAGAGAATGATAATTTCCCTTTTCTTTTTCAACTTGAAAAGCTCTCAAGGGATCATCTAATTCTAGAATTTCACAGATAAGGAAACTTAAAAAAAAAAAAAAGATAACTGTCTCAATAAATATTCAGAGCAGGAGGAGCATTGTTTTCTTCTTAGTGGTGGGTCACTACTAAAACTGTGTGTGTGTGAGCCACATTACATTTTCACTTAGTCAATGGAGAGTTGAGAGGGTCTGTGTTTAGCACTTGAATATTGGACTTGATTCAAATGTGAGTCAAGTGTGTCTAGAGGCTTTATTCATACCTATTTTCTTTTAGTCAGCATTGCTTCATAATGCCCTGGTTTCATGAATTAATTTTAATGGAATTAAACTTGAACAGCTCAAAATTATATAATTAATTTCATTCAGCTTCAATTAGAGTTACTAATTGAATCAAGCCTACTAGCATGACACCTGGCGGCAGTCAGCTACATAACAGTAGCAGCAAGAATGTAGGACTCTGCTGAGGAGAGAGTTCCTGTGTAGAGCTACTAGAAAAATCTTTTCTATTGATCATCTCAGAAAGGCCTTGGGTTGACTGTAGCAGTGGAAAAACTTCAGAAGTTGTTTAAAAAAGTCAATATTTTAATTGAAACTAACACATCTCAGGAAGGTTACATTTTCCCTAGAATAATGCTGAGTAAATGCTGCATAAATCTAGAACATGTTGGTTTAGTATGGCTCTAATTTATATTTTACTGCTATTTGAATACAGTTTTGCTTTCTAAAAATACTTAGCATTGAAGACCCTATTTTTTAAATTCAGAAATCTTAGCCTCTGGACTTAATTCCTGAGTGTCCGTCTATTTTCATGTGTTGAAATGTGTTTTATGGTAGAACTTTTCAATTGTGAAATCCCCATGGTACAGGAGAAATTTCTGCACGTGCAGAACTTTTTTTTTCCCTTCCACTGGAAATGTTAATACAGTTGACTAACAACTTCTGTTTGAATCTCTTTCCTTTCCTTGCTTCCATGGCTTGACATCATCTAGTTTTTCTTCCTTCTCTGATTCCTTTCTAATTGTATAGAACCCTCCTGATACTCTTCTTTTCACAGACTTACAGTTTTAATGACCCTATTCGTTTGAATTCATCTGAATGACTTCAAGTTTAGGAAGATGACTGTTTCAGCTATAACTTTGTGACTTGCAAATTCAGATGCTCAAAACTAAACTCATCCACTAGACGGTTGGTTGGGCTACAGTCCATGAAGGTTGGGATGTGTTTTGTAATTGATTGTATATTCAACTGCATAATACAGTGCTCAAATATCTACCATATACAAATATATATTTTTATTTTTTAAAAAATATATTAAAAGTTTAGTTGTTTTATAATGTTGTGTTAATTTCTGCTGTGCCGGTGTACTCAGTCATGGCCGACTCTTTGTGACCCCATGGACTGTAGCCTACCATGTTCCTCTGTCCATGGAATTTTCCAGGCAAGAATACTGGAGTGGGTTGCTGTTTCCTTTTTCAAATTTCTGCTGTACAGCAGAATGATTCAGTTATACATAGATACATATACAAATATGTATTTTATAAATTATTTTCCTGATCTCTAGGTTTTCCCAGTCAAATCCATTCTAAGACAACTCAGTCATCTCCAGCTCTCATCTTCTTTGATAGTCTGTGAATCCTCTAGTTATTTTCTCACAGTTACCTCCCTTCCCATCTTCTTACCCAATTGACAAAACTCTCATCAGTCTTCCTTTTAGTTTCCCTTACTCTGTTCTCCCTGTTAGATGCATCCATCCTCCAGTGATTCTTAAGGATTTAAGGACAATTGAATCACGTGGGTCCCCCACTCCCAAATTAAAGTAGAATGTTAGATTATGAGGCCCAGGAAACTATTTTTTAAGAAGTCCTTTGAGTGAGTTAAAGTACTGTCAGGATTGAGAACCTCTGGTGTGTATATAGTTTGTTCATTTCCCCCATGTATCGCTTTGATTAGACAGTTCACAAAGCTACCATGGCTACTCTCACTTATTTATCTTACTTTAAAATCAGGTCCAGATTTTTCACCTTGGCATGCAAATATCCATAGCATGTCCCTGTTCAAACTTTCACAATCTTATTTCCTAATATCCCTCTTTAAGTAGTTCACAGTGCAGAAAATTTGAACTTTTGCCCAAGTGTCTGCTTTTGGAGTTTGCCCTGCAATTCTTTCACTTGGAATGGCTTTTCTCTCATCTCTACTTTGAGAATTCCTGCTGATCTTAAAGATTATCCAACATGCACCATTTTCTATCATGCTTTTCTTGAGCTCTGAATTCTGATGAGTATCTTCTTACTTTGAATCTCTTTAGTGCTCTAGACCTCTCATAACATTCATTTAACCTTGTGTTATAGTCAGCTTTTTGCTTAAGTTATGTTCTCAATAAGACATTACTTTTCCTTATTCATTGGCTTCCTCCCTGGAGAACCCATAAACTCACATATAAATCTCTCATCATTGATGCTTTCCCTGCCACCCTTGCCCTACATGTATGGACTCACTTCCATCCTTGATAGAAATGTTACATGGCAGATCATTTGTTATGTTTTGATGACCTGTTTACAGTAATCTTAACAGACAGTTTTTACAGTAGAATGTTTCTTCAATGCTGGTTATAAAGTGCATGTGTGTGTGCTAAGATGCTTCAACCTATGGGCTGTAGACTATCAGGCTCCTCTGTGCAAGGTATTCTCCAAGCAGGAATACTGGAGTGGATTGCCATGCCCTCCTCCAGGGGATCTTCCCGACCCAAGGACCAAACCTGTGTCTCTTAAGTCTCCTGCATTGGCAGGCATGTTCTCTACCACTAGTGCTGCTTCTGAAGCGCAGTCACAGAGTAGATGCTAGTAAATCTCTATTGAGTTAATAATGTATGCAATGGTTAGTAGAGATATTGCTCCTATTTCTTTAAATTATGGCAGATTTAGAAGCATTTGGGGAAAAAAATCTGTAGAAATGAAAACAGAGAAAAATATGTAACATTTAAAGATAATACATTTTTTTTTTAAATTTAGAAAAATGCGATAAAGAAAATACTGAGAGAGAGATAACTCAAGCTACTGAAAGCTGCTTCACACACGGAGAGATGCAAGACCAGTCCATTTGGGGAAATTGTTCGGATGATGAACTCATCAGAAGTAAGTATTTTTGGAGAAAATTGGAGTGATTCAGGGACATGACTGTAATAATATGCTCTCAGTTAATCATCTCATATAATTCTACAAGAAATCTGTAAATCAACAACTTACCTGAAAGTGTTTTTCATGAGTCTTTTAAAATATAGAAGTAAAAGCAGAGTATAAATAATATTGTCTGCCAGCTTTCATCCTGTCTTTAAAAAGGAAGTATTAAGCTGAAAATTTTGGACTACATTCTCAGAGAGATTTAAACAAAACTTAATCCCTTCTTGAGTAACAAGTAAGTAGAAGTTGGACAATTCTACGTATAAACAGACAGTGAAACTAAAAAGATAAAGACGAGTCAGAGGACAGTGAGGACTGTTTTGGCAACGCCATGTGGTCCCTGTTCTGGCCAAGTGACTCCAAACTGTTTTTCCCAGTTAACACTTTTATCACTACTTAGCTTCTTTTTATTCTCTTCCTCTTCTTAAAGTTGCTCTGTAGAATATGTAAGAAGCTTTGGTTTAGTTTGTTTTACTCTGGGAATGTCCAGAAACACCAGTATCTGTTAAGTGCTATTCAAAATCCATGTTAATGGCAGTTGCGCTTGTTCTGGCCACTAAATTCCCCCTGGTGGGTTCAAGATGGATTGGCCATGTAGTGAAAGATTCTCTGTAGTAAACGTATCTATAGAAAGAACACCACTGTGCTGTGCCATGCCTGGATGGCCTTAGGAGTACTACATCTGAAATTATCATTTATGGTAACCAAATTATCCATGTCACTTTTCAGTTTTTCAGAGAAGACAGAGAAGTTTTATTCTGGGAATTAAATGTTACTTTACTTTTTTTTGTTTTTATTTGTTTTTATTTATTTTTTGTTTTAATTCTTCAGACAACTCTATAATACTGAAACTTTTTTTGTGTTACTTATTATATTTACTTTGAATAATTGAAACCAAACAGAAAAAAAACAGGTACAAGGAAAAAGCCAACTTTGTAGAAGAAAAAATAAAAACAGTAAACACACTATAGAGGGAGACTTCAAGTTTTCAAGCAAAAGCTCTAAAAGTGACCGTGTTTTAGTTTAATTTTAGAACTATTTTGGTTTTTTACACTTTTCTACTGGGGAAGGGAATAGAAAGGAAGTGAAACTCAGAAATTAGTGAGGAACAAGATTTATTCAGCTTTCTCCAAAGAATCAAAATTATTTCAAGTAAATATTTATCTCCAAAACGTATATTGGTTGTCTTCTTTCTAAATGTTGACGCTGCTATTGTGAAACTTAAGGGTGTGTAAGATACTGGCATATTTTATCTGTGATTTTTCAGCGGCCAGAGAGTGTGAGACAGGGTCTTACAGACAATTTTAACTTTACCTTTTGGGAGGCATGATTGTTTGCTTATTTTTTTCCCCCATATTCATAGAATTTTAAGTATGTGTATTTCATTAATTGATTTATGTCACCAGTTTCCCTTCCCAAGGTCCACATTTGGAAAACATGAATAAGAACTCTTAGGACAAAAACTAAAATATAAGCACCACTGCATAAGGATATGGAGAGTCATGTTGTTGTGTTAAAAAATTTTAGTGCTATTTGATGAAACTCATTTTAGCCACAGAACTCATACTATTAAAGTGAATGGATTTAAAACATACTCCTCTATTGTCTGTATTGATTATGGACAGTGATAAAAAAATATTGTAAAGTGCATGAAATAGTTTTTTTATTGAGATAATGATGCAGCCTGTATCATGGGGTACTGGAGTAATAAGGAACAACCATCTGGGTACATACTAATATATACTGAAAGAATCCAGAGAGAGAGATTTATTACCTCCTTTGAGAGAATGGCTGGGAAAATTGACAGATGAATGGATATCAGAAGATAATGGCGAAAGACAGTAATGCTGCTCTTGCTCAAAACATAAATTGCCAAGAATTTCCACATATTTGTGGGTGACTTTGGATTATGAATTCTGATGACAGATTTCAGAAACTACATTTTTGTTATTTTCCCAGTCACACTTCTGTAGACAAAGGCTATTCTGTTGGGTCTACAGAAACATTTGATATGTGGATTTTCCAAAATGGAACACTTTATGTCATCTTTAAAACCAACTCAAGTCTGGATAGCATCTGCAAGTTTGATAATCTGATAGCTTTTGCTGTTCCAACTCCCAGACACTGAAGTCTGCTAAGCTAGCCTGACTTTCCATCTTCAGCTTTCCCCATTGAGTCCTTGGCCTTCTCTGAGTCATTTAGCATCTGTCTCTCTTAACCCTGCAGTTAGAGAGATGTGTGTTTTCCTCTTACTTCAGCATCTAGAGCATTTTGGGGGGCCTAGTGCATCTTTTGTAATAACAATAGCCCTGGAAAGAAGGCTGTGGCTCAGAGCTGCGTGGGGAGGAGGGGAACATCTGCGTGAGTCAGGCCGGGGCGGGCTCCTGTGCCAGGAGTCCTGCATGGCTCCCTGAGCACCGTGGAAGAGGCAGACAGCTGGCTCTCATGGAATTGATTTTAGTTTCCCACTGTAGTGCGAGGTTGGCTGGATGGAGGGATCATCAGAAAAATAAGGCCGGCTGGGGTGTGGGAACATTTTCAAATGTGCAACCCACTCTTTTTCCAAGCTTCCATGGGACATTCAGCTGCATAAGCAAGAAGCAAAGGGGAGTGACTCTGCTGTTGAATGCAACTTCTTTCTATCTATTCTTGAGAGTGGTGAGTGAGGGCTGGCAGCTAACATCTCTGTTGTCCCAGATGCCTGCTGCCTTTTTTGTTGGACACTTAAGGCATAATTTATAGGGGACTGTTAGCTGTCAGTGTGACGAGGCTGTTTTTACTTTTCTGAGAATAACTGGGCTCTGGAAAGTCAAGGGAGTGGCTGCTTTGGAAATTGTATTCTAATTAAAGGGTGTATTCTCAGGCCTCATAAACGAGATCCAAGCTGAGAATAATTTCCAAATTATTCTGTGAACTTTAACCCTGACCTCAGTGGACCACCCACTTGTGGCTCCCACTTGCTGCAAGTTCTACACAGAAGTTCCAGCTTTGTGAGCCTTCCCTGGTCCTTCTAGAAAACATCGCAGGTGGCAGACCTGAGGGACTGTGCTCTCAAGGTCTGGATTTCAAATCAGTTGTCCTTGAGTTGCTAACTTATTAGAATCCTTTCTTGAAGTTATAAAGAGAAGAAATCCATATGGAATCAAACATTTTGAATAAATAGGCCACACACAATCTGGTCAGGGGATGTGCATAGTAGCTCTGTTTCTTATGAAATTTAAATTAAAAAGATATTTCCAACCACTGAAATTTGTTTAAAAAAAGTCTAAATCAAATAAGTAAAGAATTAAAAACATAAGGTTTGTGAGGAATTTTGGGAGGGTTTTGTTTTTTAATAATTTTTTTTATTCGTTTTACAATTTAAAAGGCATTTGTATTCTGAGAAAAATATTCTGGTATTTAATTTCTGGAATGGGGCTTCCATTTTAGAGTTTGTAAGAGTCTCTTTCTGTGGCTAACACTGGCTTTTTCCCTCAGATTGACATATGTGGGACAGTATATAATTTGGAGCTATGCCATGTTTTAATAATCACTGGTCCTCTGATTTGGTGGAATAAATGTTGCAGTGAAGTGACATCCTCAATTAATACTAACTTTTCTATTTAACCCATAATATGCATAAACTGATAACAGGCAATAGGCAACATTTCATGTTTTAATTAGACTAGAAAAGGAATAGAAGTAACATTTTGATCTCAATCTTTGGGGGTATTTCTAAGGTAGGAAGGAGTGTATCTGAGAGTGTATGTGCATGTGCGTGTGTTAGTGTGCCTATACTCATAGGCATGAGTAAATTTTCCTTTAATTTAGGTCAAATTCTACTATTCTAATTATTTCCTATGGAGAGCTTACATTTTTCTTCTTTCTAAAGTGCCTCAGGTGTCTCAGTTTTTTCTAGGTCTTTCTGAAAATTCTTATTACTTAACCTTATCCTTGGACATCACTTTTTAACATAAACGTCTTCTAATTCTAAATGTCATTACTTCACTCCAGAAATTTTCCTTAGCTTCCCTTCTGAAATAAATTTCCCATTAAATGAAACTATTTTGCTCAGCTAATTCTCTCCTTTGTGATTTTGTAGAATTCCCATGATCTGAAGCAAAGTTAGAATGCTCTACTTAAATGGTAATCCCCATTCTATTTAACCCATTTATTCATTTTGAAGAGGTTTTAGTTCTCCTAATAGTAAGCACTTAATTGGTCATAAAACACAAGCCTCTCTCTCTAATTCACAGTCGCCTCCTCTTTACTGAGCTTGTATGTCATGCTTTTTCACTCTTGCTTCTACTTGAAATCCTCCTCTTGGCATCCGCTGAGTTTCCTCACAACATCCAGAGGCTCTGCTGTTAGGGACTCTCATTTCTTTTACCAACCTTCGCTAACTTATTGCTGATCACCCATTAATGAATACCATTTCATTACATTAGAGAACGCTTCCTCTATGTAAAATACTGAAAAGCGTAGACTACTCAGGTGTACTATTTATATACTTAGAGCATTTTAAACTTTAAATGTAAGGAAAGAAAACTGAGAGGTTTGGATTTAAATCTTTTCAGTGGCACTCATGTTTGAACGCACATCACAGTATTATTTGGTTTTCTTTAGAATTCATTTTATACAAAAGAGGCATAAACAAGCTCTCCTCCCACCTCCCATAAGTACCACCCAATAGGACTGGGAAATATGACTTTCCTGTTATGTTTCATAGTTAATTGGAGATTCTTTGCTTAATACTTCATGCTTCTTCATGTGGGAGTCTATATTGGGAGCAAGTCATGGTGACTTCCATCGTGCTCAGTGTTTAGTCCTCTATTTGTCTCTCATAAAAATTATCCTATTCAATATGCTGACCAAATGGTTATGTAGCTACAGTTCAGATGCTTTTAATTGTTGCTATAGAGAGGAATCTTTAACCATCAATTATTCCAAAACCAACTCATAGTTTGGTTTCAGGG